CTTAACAAGGAAAAGGCTCCCTAAATCTGGGAAAGGTTTTTCCTTAAACCTGGGAAAGGCTCTTCCTTAAACCTGGAAAAGGCTTTTCCTTAAACCAGGGAAAGGCTCTCTAAATCCAGGAAAGGTTCTTCCTTAAACCTTGGAAAGGTTTTTCCTTAAACCAGGAAAAGGGTCTTCCTTGAACCTGGAAAAGGCTCTTCCTTGAATCAGGAAAAGGCTCCTTAAACCCAGGAAAGGCTCTTCCTTAAACAAGGAAAATGCTCTTCCTTAAATGAGGAAAAAGCCCTTCCTTAAACCAGGAAAAGTCTCTTCCCTAAACCTAGGAAAGGCTTTTCCTTAAACCCAGGAAAGGCTCTTCCCTTAACAAGGAAAAGTTTCCCTAAGCCAGGAAAAGGTTTATCCTTGAACCAGGAAAAGCTTCTTAAAACAGAAAAAGCTTCCTTAAGCCAGAAAAGCTTCTTTAAATTAGGAAAAAGCTCTTTAAGCCAGAAAAATCTCTTCCTTAAACCAGGGAAAGGCTCTTCCAGCCCCACACACGGGATCCTAAATGCATCTCCACACTGGAAGCAGGGTTTTGGGTTCTTATCTAAACATTGATGGTTGTTATCTAAACCCTGATGGTTCTTATCTAAACTGAGGGATCTTCACTTCTCCCGATGGGAGCTGGGTGCTAATTATGGGTTAATTAAGGTTGTTAAGGCTGGAGAAAGCTGGTGTAATTCCAGATGGCTCCAAGTGTCCTGAGATTTTATCTGGCAAGGCCAGAGTGTGGTGACAGAGTTGGGACAGAGCCACGGGCTGTTGGTCAGCGCAGGGCAGGGGGTCCCTGTGGGTGCTGTGGGTGTAACTGTGGTGTCACCATGGTTTCTGTGGGTAACTGTGGATGTAACTGCAGTGTCCCCATGGTCTCTGTGGTGTCCCCATGGTCCCTGTGGGTGTAACTGTGGTGTCCTCATGGTCCCTGTGGTGTCCCTATGGTCCCTGTGGTGTACCTGTGCATTTCTGTGGATGTTCCTGTGGGTGTAACTGCAGTGTCCTCATAGTCCCTGTGGTCTCTGTGCTGTCCCCATGCGTTCCTGTGGATGTTGCTGTGGTGTCCCCATGTCCCTGCACTGTCCTCACGGTCCCTGTGGATGTTGCTGTGCTGTCCCCAAGGTCCCTGCACTATCCCCATGCAGTCCTGTGAATGTTACTGTGCTGTGCCCATGTCCCTATGCTGTCCCCATGGTCCCTGCACAGTTGCCGTGGTCCCTGGGGATGTTGCTGTGCTGTCCCCATGTCCCTGTGCTGTCCCCGTGGTTTCTGTGAACGTCGCTGTGCTGTCCCCATGTGTTCCCATGGATGTTGCTGTGCTGTCCCC